TTTTTTTTTTCCCTTTTTGTTTTTGCTTGTTGAGCTGAAGGCCTCTGGATGGATTAAATCAAGGCTACTGGAAAAGCATTGTCTCCAGGAAATGAGATGAGCTGTGATGCATTTAATGCAAACAAGTATTAGTTGGTTTATATCATGACTGATGCCAAGGGTTATTTTAGGTTGCTATTATTGTGTTCCATCGATAGAAGATATTTGTCACTTAATTCATTTTTTTTTTATATTCAAAATCCCCTTTTCCATCTTTTTGTCAGTTTGAGATTAAACTATATATCTTCTGGGCTGTGGCCTCCATGTTTTTGTACTTGATGTTTTTAGCTTTCCACTTGATTTTCTTCACGTAACTGATGTCAAGCTCATACCGCTACACATGAAATGAACCCCCTAGGGCAGAAGACACCCATCTATCTGCGTCTAATCTCCCAGTTCACTCTATCTCCGACCACTTTCTTTTTCATGTCAAAGTTATCTTTTCATGTTTTATTCACCCATCTGCACCAGGGGCCGAGTGCAAAGTCACACAAGCGATAAAACGGCTGCCCCAACAGTGTTGTATTTATCTGTCTATGAAAGGCCCCCCCGACCCTCTGGACCTTTTCCCTTTTAAGCTTTTGCATATTTCTGACAAGAAATAAAATGTGTTGTATTGGTTATGTTGCAGTCAGGATTAGTACTTTAAATGTAGGCTTACCATAGCTCTGCATTGTAATCATGTTAAAACAATTCAGCATTTTTATTTTTGCACAGAGCACAGTTCAAATCGCATGTTTATACTCGATCTTGGGCATACATGTCATATAATTTAATTGTTAGAAAATTAATTTGAACCTTTTCTCTCTTTTTAACAGCATCAGCAAGGTGAAAAATATAAGGATAAGCATTTTGATTATTATATTCATATTTTTAAAACTAAATTGAATTAGGATAGATATACCTTTAGCAGGTTTGAGAAGAATAAGCACATATTGTTGTAGAAATCCATAAATATATGGCATAATTGCAATGCACCGATACCACTGGCAGAAAAGAGACCTAATGCTACTACAGTGCAAGTCTCAGACTTTTCTCTAGGAAATATTGATATAACTCTCTAAATCAAGTTTTCATACAATCTCCTTTAAATTAGAACACTGCCACCTTTAATGTATTTCAAGTTGAAGTCATTATTTTAGTGTGTAACAGAATTAAACATGGCTATGA